CGTTTTTTTGGATTTTCTGTTCTTGTTATTGTCTGTGAATAATATATTAGTAAAGTAAACAAATGTTAATTATCAACAGTATTTCATACCAATGAGTCGTTAACATTTTCGATAGCCGAATGAACGTTTCTAATTGTTGTTGCAAAGGTTTTTGCGGAAACACTTATCAACGAACTAGTAGCTTCAACCTGCAGTCAGTAAAGGAAATAAATTAATATAGTGCCAAACCTTGTTGAAGCAACAAATAAACTATAACCTCTGCGGTCTGTAACTGATCCTGTAGCCGTCTATTTAGTTCAATTTTATTCCAAAAAGCGTTGACATCGCAAAAAGTATCACGGTGGCCCTTAAAAATAAATAATTAATATGATCAGTTAAAGTTTGATCCACGCGGAATTAGTACACTGCGGAAAGCAGGTACAACGGACATTCCGACCGTAAGGTAGACAGCATTCCATTGTCCACCGTAGTTGTAAGGGTTCCATTTTCTAATAGCGGACATTCCGACCATAAGGTAGACAGCATTCCATTGTCCCCGTAGCTATAAGAGCTCCCTCTACTAGTATAAAAAAAAATCAACTAAATTACTTGCCTTAAAAAGTTTGTTTAGATGACTAGCAGTTTCCTTCGATTCCTCTGAGCCATCCTCCATGAGATTATTGAGATCCATTTGCAATTTGTAGGATTCCTTCTGAAAAGAGAAGGTAAAGTCCGCTTGCTTCGAACGATATTCATAAAAGTCCAGAAAACGATATTCTTTAGGCTCGGTTTCGTTAAAGTAAGAACACCACTTGCTAGACATTGTCTTTTGTTTGAAAAAACGCGGTTATATGAGAAATGTCGATCATGCGCGTATTTATGTACAGAGGGGTCGCACAAAATTAAGCCGATTTTCACAACAAAAAAATTATTCGTGTGATAAAAATTTATTTTTATGCGCATACAAATAATCTACCAATGTGTCGCATATCCATTTTTTTTTATCACTTCTTTCACATGATCTGTCATTGAGTCTATAAAGTGGAGGATTTTATCAAATTCTATGTCATTCCATGCTGCAGTAATGGCCTCCTCTAAATCGGATTTGTTATGTGGTTTTTGGTTCTTATGAATCCATGCCTTGACCTCTCTCCATACATTTTCAATTGAATTAAGGTCTGGCGATTGTGGTGGCCATTCCATGGTTGTAATTTCAAGCTCAGATTTGATTTTTTTTCACAAGTTTACACTTGTGAATTGGTGCATTATCTTCTTGTAATATTTCTCCTTCTGTAATCAAATTTATTGGATAAATAGTATTCAAAACAAGATTTCCATATTCTGTACCATTCATATGAGATGAAATTCGAACCAAATGGCACAAATTGTATCTATTTATGTATCCCCACACCATAATTGATTGGCGTTCACTTTTGGTAATTGCTTGCATACAACTTGAATCATAAAATTTATTCTTGTAACATCAAATACAGACTTTTCATAAGAGTTTGTACTAATGGAAGATTTGTCAGTTCAAAGAACATTTCTTTAATCCTCTTTTGTCCAATTTTCATGAAATTTTGTTCAATTTAATTATTTGATTTGATTTTTTTTACTAATGAATGGTTTTTTACGTGCAATGTGAAAACGGATATTATTTTTTTTTAAAATTCTAGCTAAAGTATAGTAAGAAATAGGATTGGATGAAAATTCGGCAACTAGTATGTGTTTCGACATTCTTCTCAGTTCTGGATTTGTCTTAATTTTTCATAAGATAAATTATTCGAAGTGATCGGTTATTACTGATTTTCTATCACTATTCTTTCTTTGCAGATAACCAGAATTATTTGTTGATTTTAATCATTTAAGGCAATGTTTAATGGCAGTATCAGACCTTCCAATAATTCGCGTGATTTTAGCAACAGACATGCCTTCTTTTTTTAGTATTTCTACTGTATGGCATTCACCTTCTGTAAGATTATTTTATGTCCCATTAGTATATATGCATTAAAAATTAAAAATTTTTTTTATTTAAATAGTAGAATCAGATCAAAACAAATGTGTTTTATTAATACATAGCATGATGTAGGCATATTTATAATAGCAATAATTAATTTTAAAAATAATAGTAATATAAAATTTATGATTATCAGCTTAATTTTATGCGACCCTTCTGTACCACAATCACGAGAAGTTCATGTGTGTTACAAAGAAGTAGCAGTGAACAAAACTTTATTAATATATAGTGAATTAGAATACTAGAGAAGCGAAAATGTATGATGCTATCAAAAGAGTGAAGTATGCGGATCCTAGATCATTAGTATATGCTCTCTTGAAAGTTTGTTATTTAATTTTTTTATTACAAGCTGGATATATGGAAAACAAAATTTATATTTGAGAATGTATACAGAATATACATGTGATAGGAATTCATAAATCCTTGATACATTTGATACAATTATTTGATACAATTAATTGAATCACTAATAAAACATATAAAATAATTAAATCAGATATAATTATTTTTGAAGATTTTGACAATTGAATCAATAACAAAATAATTTAAACATATACACAATGAACCCTGTTAAACCAATATGGCTAGAACTATTAGTAAAATTTTTTGGAAAATTCAGTTTAGATAGGTTTATCTAGTAAATTCGGTTTAATGAGGTAATTTACAATATAACAGTTTTTGAACAAACTTCAGTTTAACTGGATTTTAATTAGTACTTCAGTTTAATAGGGTTCGAATTAACAGGGTTGACTATGTATAATACAGAAAATCTTTTTTAAATGTATCTTCTATAAATATACTCATTCTTTTAATATATCTCAAAGTATAGTTTCAAATTGGAAATATAATATTAAATACACTCTTTATATTCTATACATGTATTAAATTTTATATGTTTTTTATTCTATAAATGCATTATATATATTATATAAACAAAAGTATCTCATATCTTAAATTTATTATTATTTTATTTAAATTTTTAATATGTTATTGTTTATATTTTAAAAAACATGTATATAATTTTCATATTTTTTTAATAAGTAAATATTAAATTAAATATAAATACATCTATCTTTCCAATATTTCTAATTTTATTCAATACTGTTTCAATTTAAACTTTTAATATGAAAAATTTTATTATATTATTATACTTACTTATTTAACAAATAAAATCAAATTATATTCAGTTCTTATTTTTAAATTAGTTAATGTTTTATAACAAACTTTTTTAATAGAAGTATTTATTCATATAGATTCTAATGTAGAACTCTAAAAAATATTGAATTAGTATTAAAGTAGTATCAAAATAATACTAATTTATAATAAATTTAATATATGAATTATAATCCACTTATATAAATTTATAATAAAATTAATTCGTGATCTGCGAGTTAAGGAAAGAATTTTAATAATGATCGACGGGGTGCATTTTGTATAAATCTTAATAGAAAATTCATAAGCCCTCATCATTTCCACTTTAGTATTATTATATTTACTCTGTACTTCCACAAAACTGTATACCTGGGTACACAAAGGGAATACATACGAACAATTTTTCATAATAAACCCACCTCACTTTTCTTGATAGTTACCTTTTTATTTGAAAATCAGCTCGGGATTATAAGTATTAAATCTACTCACATAAGAAACATA